CGGGATGAGGAGGCAGCAGACGAGAATCTTGTACCAATGGACTTGCTCGAACACGAGCGAGATGACGACGACCGAGACGGCGGCGAACGTGAGAAGGCCGGCAATCCAGCTCCACGTCGGAACGTGCGCGGCGTCAAAGATCTTGTCGAGGTACGCCTGGCGCTGCGCCTGCGTGAGCTCGTCGTTCTCGTCGCCCTTGGCCTCGTTTTGGACCTCGGCGATCGGCGTCTTCTTGGTGTAGACCTTGAAGAGCATGTAGCCGATCTTAATGATGCAGTACACCGCGTCAACGCAGATGATCGCGACGGCCGTGAACGTGTAGTATGCCTTGAGGCCCGAGACGTCCTTGGCCACGAACCAGTCGTTGAGCTTGTACGCCTTGAGGTACGGCGTCATGATGGCCGACGCGACGATGTTGCCGAGGAAGATCGAGTACATGACACGCAGCGGCAGCATGAGCGCAATGGCGTAGGTGCCCGGCGCCCAGTCGAACGTCCAGCCAAAGCCCGCCGCCTTCATGCCAAAGATCGGGAACGCACCAAAGCCGTCAAAGCAGAAGAGGAAGATGCTCCAGCAGTACGAGATGACACCCGCCTTGAGAAGGAGGTTCCATTGGTACTCGACGACCTCCTTGGACGTATGGAGCGTCTTGATCATGTAGGCTGTCGCGGTACCACTGGGGAAGAGGAGGCGCATGTCAATGATAAACTTGCGGCGGAGCGGGAAGGAGATGAAGAAGCCAAAGAGCGCAATGCTGGCGCACCACGCAAACGAGTGGATCCAGTTGAAGTCGATGACGTCGGTCGCGAGGTTGCCCTTGGTCTTGTTGCCGACTTGTTCGTACACGGCCTGCGTGAGCGCAAGCACACCCGAGCCAAAGCCGGCCTGGCTGGCCAGACTCATGCAGGCCACGGCGGTCGTCTGGATGACGACGTTTTCTTGGACCGAAAAAAAGCCGCGGACGACACCGATCTTGGTGAGGCCGCGCACGATCATGAAGCCACCGACACCGGCGAGCACGTTGAGGGACGGCGTGACACCGATCTTGAGACTGTAGTACATGGCGAGCACGCTGACGAAAATGCCAACGATCGCGCCGACGATGAGCGCTTTCAGCGTAATTTGCGGGTACTCGAGGCCGTTGGTGATGGCTGCAAACTCGAGCACGTGCTTGGCCTCGTCGTCTTCACCGAGAGGCGCGGCCTTGGTCTCGGGCTCGTCGTACGGCGTCGTCGCCGGCGCGTACTTGGCGTGGGAGTCTTTCGGCGAGTCCATGGATGCACGTCGTCGAAAAAGGCAAAGTGAGATTGACGGTGCGATTGATGTTGGCCGGGCTGGTTGGCCATGGCTCAACAAACGAACCCAACGGGCAGATTGGCAAGAGTGTGTGCGTTCTTGCATCAACTTCAAAAAGACACGTGCCGGCTGGTGGCATCTGAGATGGGGGTGTCGTCCAAAACCGGCCAATTCGGGTCGAAACCCGTCAGAAGACAGTAGGGGGCCCCCATTTAAAAACCCATCTGATCGGCATATGAAAACCATAGATCTGAGTTGCGCGCCGAAATGTGTAGGTGACCACCTTCTTTGCAGCAAGCTGCTATCCAAGGCGCAGAAAAAACGCGACGTTGCCTGCCATTGCCCGCGTCCGACGGGAATTGAACCCAAGAAAAGGGCCGCTTCCCCCTCTTCGTCCACCTCTGTGCGCGCGGCGATGTTGAACAAATGCCGTCGTAATCAATGGCTCAAAATTTAAAAACAGGTCCAATTCGATGCAATGTTCAAGCTCAACCCCAACACCTCTCTGTGCTCTCCATGCCTCTGGACCAAATGGCCCACATCAGCACCACCCACCACCACTAGCAGTAGCAGTAGCATCCAGCGATAGACGGCGCCCACCGATAGACAGCTGCGTACTCTATATATCTTCTTGGCGGGACAAAATTGATGTACAAGTCTTCGTGAGTCTTCGCGGCAGCATTTCTGTGTTGAATAATGTTGTCTCGCTTTGCCCGACCACGGGAACGCGATGGTCGCGTTCCATTGGCGCGGACGACCGAAATCGAAATGAGGCTTTGGACACGCGCACCCAGGCGCGCGCCCTATCCTATTGTCAAAGCTGATTCGACGTCGACATGTGCGCCGCCTCGCTCACGACAGGCGACCGCGACAAGTCCAAACAGTATCTTTCAGCTCACAAGCTTGGCCTTGCATTGCCTTACACATCAATTCTCACACAATACAATGTTAAGCAATTTATACTAAAGCGCTCTAATGGGCGTTGGCGTACGTGATGTGCATCGGGGCTTCGGCACCGGCGATCGAGACGATGATCTGCGTCAGCACCGAGAAGCCTTCGCCCGTAAGCATCCCGGCGGCGAGGACGTACTGCGCCTTCTCGAAACCCGGGCAGTCGACGGTGCGCCAGTAGCCAATGATCGCGGCCATGATCATGCCTTCCAGACCAAAGTACGCGGGCACAATCATACCAATGGCGACCGCCATCGGCACGGGGCAGTAGTTGGC